AAAAGGGGGGGGGGGGGGACAAGATCCAGGATTTATATGTTGTTTATTTGACTGATACATCACACTTTCCAAGAAAGGCTTGGGGCAGCTTACAGTAAGGGAACAAGATAACATAAAAGCAAGTAAAATATTAAGTAAAAATTAACCCCCTTTGCCTCCAACAACAACCTAAGCCTTGTTTGCTACATGCCTACCCAAATAGAAACATCTTATAGTGCTTCCAGAGGATGTCTCCCTTACAACAAGCAGCAGCAAAAATGAGGCATAAAACCAATTCTACCTCCTTGTTAAATCATAAGGTACACATGCACACACTAACTAATGCTAGGTAGGAAAAACAGGCCAAGAAGTTTTAGTCAGTCTTGTCCCCTGCTCTACAAGCAACAGGAGTGGACGCGTGTACTCAGAAAGACCTCCTACAATTTCCTTTGTCTACCCAACCCCCAACCAAAAGCAGTCACATTTTTCAAACCTTGGTGATTCAGGATGACTATGCATGAATTATGTTCCAGCCTGGTCTGCTGTCCCGTTTTCTTGATGCTGTTCTTCTCCAACAGGTCATGTGGACACTGCTGATCAGGACAGATTCTCAGTATTTCCAAGTCAAAAGCAATTTAACTTTGTAGTCATGGGCCAGAGAGAGAACTTCTATTTTGGCTCTTCCCCTATCAAACTACCATCCCAACTACCATTCCTTTTGCAAGGCAATGCAGTCAAGTGATGATACTAGTATAGGGGTGGGCAAAGTATAGCCCACAGGCCAAATATGGCCCACCAAGCCTGCAGGGCCCCTAAAAATATTAATTTTCTAAATTTTATCTGCCCCAGCAGCCTGTCAAAGCTGGCAGGAGCCAAAGGCAGTAGGACCCAAGAGGAGCCTCAGTAGGGCTGAAAAGCCCAGCCCTGCCCACCCCCAGCTATTTCACTCCCTTCCTGCCCCTGCCCTGTTCCAACATCCCCTGGCTGCCAGCTGCACCGCCCAACTGGGCAGCACGGGACTGTGCCAATATGGGGTGCGTATATGCGTGCATGTATGAATGCAGGCAGGCAGGCACAGTGTGCACGCACACATGTAGGCATGGGCAG